TTGTACAGGGCAGACCGGTACGATTAGCACATCGAGCCAAATTTCTGCGTGCCAAACGCATGGTCTCTGCTAACGACCTCGCTAGTGTTAACGAGATTCTCGGTATCGCATCTACACCTTCCTCCTCTACAGCTGGTACACCGAAGGTTGGGTCAGGGACATCCACACCAACACTTGCACCATCCAAAACATACCCTGGACCAGGAGGAAGCGAAATTGCACTAATGGACGTCGACAGACGACTACAAGCTGAAGGAAGCTCCAACTCCAACTCCAACTCTGACTCTGATTCTTCAGAAGACGAAAAAAAGAAGAAGAAGAAGAAGAAGGAAAAGAAGGAAAAGCAAAAGGAAGACAAGAAAAGCAAAAAGAGCAAGAAGGCCGTTGATGCTGCTGCGGCTGCCAAAGAGGCGAAAGCTACTGCTGCACAGGCTGCAGCAGAACCAGCTGTGGCAGATGAGAAAGAGAAAGCGACACAGATTGGCACTAACTCGCAGGGCTTGTTTGTGTTCGAGTATCTGAACCGTCGTTTGGTGATCAGGAAGGCACAGATTCAGAAGCAGAAGAAGGCGGAACAGGAGGCTATTTTTGCTAGGGCTGCTCGTGTCGGTGCCTGATGGCTGCGAGAAACCTCTTTTACTGTATGTTCATAGAACATTATACCCCTGCTTGGAATGCAAGTATGCATCCTACGTATGCTTCTTGCTCGTCGTTTCATGTGCTGTGTCGAAGAAGGCTAGGCTGCTGCAAATGAGTTTTGTGAAGTCGAAAATGCCACGATTTTCGCGACCTCTGATTCCATCCCTTTTTTTAGAATAATTGGCCTTTTTGGTTGGGTAGCGAATTATCTTTCGGGACTCGGGCCTCGTTCTGTGTGGAGGTGTCGGAGCTGATTTTTGGATAAATGCTAGCATGACTTAGCATCGTTGCCACTCACCCTCTCTTCAATCAACTACAGCGACCTCGTACAGCCTTCGGACCCCTACGATTACAGTAGCAACGCCTCACATCCCTAGTCGAGTGTCCTCAAAGGAATCGAGATCATGTCATTTACAGCACCCAATGCCAACCCACCTCCAAATCACGGTGGCACCGTCTCCTCCCCAAACCCTAACTCTCCAGGCGGCTACCCGACTCAGACAACCATCAATCTCGGTCGAAATGCCGGCAAGCTCGATACTGCAATCCATCCTCCACTCCCTGTCAACCAAGTGGGTGCAGCCAACCGTTCCGCACAACTCGGCGGTATTGCTCTCGGTTTCGGCGGAGGTGTGATTTCAGCTTTCATCTCTCGTAAAGCCTTGAATCTTTCCAAGAATGCGAGCTATCTTTCAGGTTTGCTAGCAGGAACGGGTGTAGCGTATATCACGGCGAGACAGCAGTTGGAGCATAATCTGGGCGCGGTGGAGAATGCCGAGTTGGGAATGAGGGGGCAACTGAAGGGAGGGGCAAATGCTGTCGGAGGCAATGCGAGTGCGAGTGTAAGCGATGGATTGAGTGCAAATGCAACGGAGCAAGAGATGTTGAAGTACGATTTGCAGGCTGGGAATGCGGGTGTTCATGAAGGTGGTGTCGCTGGGATGCACGAGTTTAGGGACAAGTATGCTAGTACGAGGGGTGATCATTGATGGGCATTGCGTCCAGTCTTAGGCTGCCGTTTGCTTTCGGACGATCCTGTTTAATTGAAAAGCCTGCTATTAAAAAAAGATGCCTCCTAGCCGACTCGAACGACTGACCTCTTCATTACTAGTGAAGTGCTCTACCGCTGAGCTAAGGAGGCTGATGTATACCAACGAGCTTATATTGCCTGGATATATACACATTTTAAATGCCATCGATTCTGTATCCGTTCGAAGGCATCTCTGCAAGGAACCTCGCCCACCTCGCCATGCTGCAACTGCTGAAGCCCTTGAGTGGCATTCGGAACAGCCTCGGCTCAATCCAAGCATTGCCAAGGCCGTGTTTGGGTGGACAGAAGAAGACGGGGAAAGACAAAAAGATTTCGACCTGTGATGCGAAGATGATCGATTAGAGGGCGTCGTCGAATAGAGAACACAAGGAAAGACTCGCCCTTGTTGCTCGCTAGTTGGGGAAGCAGGTTCAAACTTTTCGACGTCAGAAGGCCAAGCACAGCGTAAAGGAGGCAGAGGCAAGCGAGAGAGGAACGGCGAATGTCTGTAGTAGTGACTGGGTGCGAGTGAGTGAGCAGCGTGTCAGAAACTGTCCGTCTGGATGTTCAACTCTTGCACTCAGAGCAGTAGTACAGTAGTGGTACAGTAGTACAGTAGTACAGTAGTGGTACAGTAGTACAGTAGTACAGTAGATCAGCTTTGCGTTTGTGAGTCTGCAGCCTGTCAGTGAGTTTCGCTCTTGTCGATGAAACTTCAGAAGGTGGATGGACAGAAGCGAAGCACGAGCCATCTTTTTGTGCAAAATGCCATTGTCTTCCTCCATAGGCTGCTATATACTCTAGGGTGGCAACGAGCAGAGAGTCGACATCTAGCTGATCCCCAGACCCCCCCCCTAACTTGCTTCCTCCTCCTTTATGTGTTTTGAACCATTCTCATCAAGGTAACTCTATCGCAAACACACCCTTTCAATAGCACACAGACCTCCGTCATCATGGCAGCTGCCAACACTGCCGCCCCGGCGCCGATCGACTACACCAAAGCCACCGACGGCACTGGTGTCATCGATGGTGATCCATGGCTTGAACCCTTCTCTGGCGCCCTTCGCGAGCGATACTCTTTCTACTCCTCCTGGCTTTCCAAGATCGCCTCCACCGAAGGCGGTCTGGAAGACTTCTCCCGATCCTACCTCAAGATGGGATTCCAAATCGACCCCAAAAGCCAATCCGTAAGCTACACAGAATGGGCACCGAACGCTGTGGAAGCCTCCCTCATCGGTGACTTTAACAACTGGTCTCGCGACTCGCACAAGATGAACAAAGATGACTTTGGTAAATGGCACGTTACTATCCCTCCCATCAAACCTGGTCAATGTGCTATCCCCCACGATTCCAAGGTTAAGATCTCCATGGTCCTCCCCTCGGGTGAGAGAATCGAGAGGCTTCCTACTTGGATTCTTCGCGTTACCCAGGATCTGAAGGTCAGCCCCGTTTACGACGCCAGATTCTGGAATCCACCAGCAAACCAACGCTACAGGATCAAACACAAAGCTCCTCCCAAACCAACCAACATCAAAGTGTACGAAGCCCACGTCGGTATTGCTACCCCTGAAGCTCGCATTGGTCAGTTCAAAGAGTTCACCAAAAACCTTCTCCCCCGAATCAAAGAGCTCGGCTATAACACCATCCAGCTGATGGCGATTCAAGAGCACGCGTACTACGCTTCGTTCGGTTACCAGGTTACCAACTTTTTCGCTGCTTCTTCTCGATACGGCAATCCTGAAGACCTCAAGGAGCTCATCGACGTCGCTCATTCCTTGGGTATTACCGTATTGCTGGACATCGTCCACTCTCACGCATGCAAGAACGTGCTTGACGGATTGAACATGTTCGACGGTACCGACCATCTTTACTTCCACGAAGGCGCCAAGGGAAGACACCAACTCTGGGATTCTCGCTTGTTCAACTACGGACATCACGAGGTCCTTCGTTTCCTCTTGAGCAACTGTTTGTTCTGGATGGAAGAGTACGGATTTGACGGCTTCCGTTTTGATGGTGTAACCTCGATGCTTTACACTCATCATGGTATCGGAACTGGATTCTCGGGTGGTTATCACGAGTATTTCGGCCCCTCGGTTGACCTTGAGGCAGTGGTATACCTTATGTTGGCCAACGATTTGATTCACAAGGTCAACCCTAACGCGATTACGATTGCAGAAGATGTGAGTGGAATGCCTGCACTTTGCAGGCCTGTTAGTGAAGGAGGCGTTGGATTCGACTACCGTCTCTCGATGGCCGTTCCTGATATGTGGATCAAGTTGTTGAAGGAGAAGAGCGATGAAGATTGGGATTTCGCAAACATCTGTTTCACCCTTACCAACCGTCGTCATCTGGAAAAGTCGATTGCTTATGCCGAATCGCACGATCAGGCTTTGGTCGGTGACAAGACGCTAGCGTTCTGGTTGATGGATAAAGAGATGTACACCAACATGTCTGATCTTACGGAACGCACCCAGGTGATCGATAGAGGTCTAGCTTTCCACAAGATGATCCGTCTCATCACTCACGCTTTGGGTGGTGAAGGATATCTCAACTTTATCGGAAACGAGTTTGGCCACCCAGAGTGGTTGGACTTCCCTCGTGAAGGCAACGGAAACTCTTTCCACTACGCTAGACGACAGTTCAACCTGGTCGACGACCCTAACCTTCGCTACAAGTACCTCTACGCGTTCGATGCAGCCATGAACAACGCCGAGGAGAAGCACAAGTGGCTTGCTGCACCTCAAGCCTACATCTCGCTCAAACACGAGAGCGATAGAGTCATAGCATTCGAGCGCGCTGGATTGCTGTTCGTATTCAACTGGCACGCAAACACCAGCTTCACCGACTACAGGATTGGTGTCGACGTTCCAGGAAAGTACAAGGTGTTGTTGGATAGCGATGCAAACGAGTTGGGCGGTCATGGCAGAGTGCATCACAGTACGGAGTATTTCACAACCGATATGGAGTGGAACGGTAGAAGAAACTTTGTTCAGCTGTACTTGCCTAGTAGAAGCGCTATTGTGCTTTACAAGGCCGATTGAAGCACAACTTTCAACCCCGACTTGACTCTGTATATACTGTAGTCGTTCTCCATTCAATAGCATCACAACATGTTTTCCTCAGTAAGATCAGAAGAACTACCAAAGCATTCCTACCCTGCCTCCTGTCGTGCAATTGGGGTGAGTTTCTTGCTACCACGTTCGTACCTTGCCGCAAAAGGACAAAGAACGCTAAATGGATGGGAGAAAAGCGCTGAACACTTGGATGGTTGTTATAAATATACAACGTTTTTACACTCCCGCATGGCAAGCCCAAAACAGTCTGTTCTTGTGCCTCCTTAGCTCAGCGGTAGAGCACTTCACTAGTAATGAAGAGGTCAGTCGTTCGAGTCGGCTAGGAGGCAGGCATAAGTTTCTCCCTTTTCAATTTTTCTTTTTTCGCATCTGTGTCTGTCTCTCTTTCTTCCCCCCCCTTTTTTTTCTTTTTGACAATGCCCATTCTCGTACACGAATCCTTGCTTCGAAGCGTCATGCTGAGCTGCTCAGAGAAACAGTCGCAACAGCCGATTTGAAAGTTTCCATGATGACACCAGTATGTAAAAGTATAAAGAGAGCGATGTTGTCCATCGAACGATAGCTGCTTACTTGGCAGCATTATGCCTCAACCTCTCGTGTCTCAACATAGCGTCCTTCCTGGAGAAATTAGCACCACAAGACTTACACTTCCACTCGACAACAGCCGTACTTTTCTTCGGATCAACCTCTTTACCCAACACTATACAATCTTCCAACTTCAACTTCCCTTCTCTCATAAACCCTGCCTCCTCTCTCGCATGAATTGTTTCCCTATGTCTAGCAAGATCGTACGGTCGATGGAAAGCAGTTTGACAAGCGACACCAGTGATAGGGCTGACGTAGTCGCACTTTGTGGTTCCATCGGCGGCGGCTGGTGCAGCTGCAGCTTTCTGTACGCTGGGTTTGGTGGATTTAGTTTTGGGAGGAGCAGTTTTCTTGGTGGTGGAGTCAGGCGAGTTGTCTTCGTAGTCAGATTCGTTGCTGTTTCCTGAACCAGAGTTGCCTGTTTCGGATGATTCTTCTTCTCCTCTGGCTTCGACTCGGTCCTCCTTAATGGGCAAGTCTGGTGTAGCAGGTGGGATCGGAGCGGCGGGTCTGATGGGTGCAGGTTGTCGAGTGGCGGCAAGCAAAGGCGGTGGTGCTCCGACCTCTTGTTGTAACTTCCGTTCGCTGGTCTGAGCACTCGACCTGATGCTAGGCGAGATGCTTCCTTCATCTTGACTGCCACCCATACCACCAACTCCACCGCCGGGCGGAGCAACACTCAGGCCACTCTCCTGACTGCCTGGGATGTATCCGTATCCACCCATCGCACCAGGCATGTGTTGCCTTGACGGGGGCACATAAGGTCTGCTGCTGCGATCGCTAGTGTCATCCATCGACTCAGACGAGGACTGATGCTGACCTAGACTTGGCCTTTGGGTCTGAGCCGATCGGGGGTCCAGCTGCGAAGAATAGCGAGAATGAGGGTAACCGCCGTTGGGCTGACCGTAGGGCTGCTGCTGATGCGGGTGCTGGTGGTGATGATCATTGTGTCGGTGATGCTGGCTGTGATGAGGATGAGCATGGGAAGCGTGTGGATGACCATGTCGTGCTCGATATTCGGCACTTTGACTATAAGCACTCCTCCTGCTAGAACGATCATCCTCCGAATCACTGCTCGAAGCAGATACGTCCGAGAAGCGAGGCTGGTTCGTGTGTGTCTGTCGGAATGCCCATGGCTCATTGCGGACATGCGACCATGTGCTGCTTCCAGTGCTTGAAGTGCGCTCCTTACCCACCAGAGGTCGAGGTAGGATCGCAGGAGAACCAGAGGCACGACTGCCATCTGCCTTGACGGGATAGTTCAAGTAGAGACTGCTTGGTCCGCCTCGGATCATGCTTGGCTTCATGTTAGGAGGGTAGTAAGGCCTCTCGTCCTCGTCGTCGTCCGTCGAGATTGTATCACCACTGTCAGCGGGGCTGAAGAGACTGCTTTGGGAGCCCGACTCTTGGCTAACAGATCCACGTCCATCGCTCTGGTTGGGATACGGCGAGCGACCATTGGAAGCACTTTGGTGAACACTGGGGCCGGGTCGTTTCTGCTGGTAGTGATGCGGTCGTGCTGTATCGTTGCGGCTCATGGGGACAGGTCGAGCAGCATAGGCAGCGGCAGCGTCACCGGTCGAGAATCGTGCTGGCGTCACATTCTGCTGTGAGCCCATTCGAGGGGTATTAGTGCCGGTATGCCCTGCCGAATACCTTGCTGAACCATCTTTTGCATCAGACAACCCAAGCGGTACACTTGCAAACAGGCTAGGCATCTTGCCAAGGCCGGAATGCGACAAGGCATTCTCGACATCATCATAATCCAAGAATGCCTCTTGTGGACTGACAGTGAGGCCGCTCGACTCTCGCTTCAAAGGGCGCCGCCTATCTGGCGGATAGCTGTTGACAGGACCACCGTAAGTCTCTGTCGAAGCCATGGATACGGGACCTCCTCGTTGAGCAAGTTGACTCTGCGACATGGCGGGTGGAGGCATGCTGGGTCGTTGTTGCTGCGAGTGTTGCGATTGCGGGGACTGCTGTTGCTGCTGGTGCGAGTAGGCGATCTGAGAGCCCTGGATGGATTGCGACTGACGAGCCCAGTCCGGCAAGTAATTCTGCGAGTGACGTGCAGGTGGGTAAGAGTTGGCGGCAAAGCCGTTGTCAAAGGTACTGCTGCGTGTGCGCAAGTCGGCGCTGCTGCGATGGTGAAGAGGTGGCATCTCTTCATCAGGGGTGCGCTCTTCCTCTGGCTGCTTGCTGGGTGTCTGACTTGACCGACGCTGAGACTGATCACCGAGATCATAGTCAGGAAAGAGGGCGAAAGAAGGTGCGACACCTGCTTGCATAGGATCAGATGATGCTGAGAGCGGGCTTGTCTGCATGTCAGTTGGACGAGGGGTGTAGTCCTGTTTCTGGAGAATGTCTCGCAATGGACCTTTGAAAGCACGAGTGTCGACACCAGCAAGCTCTGCACGGATCTGTGCCTTGACTCGTTCTTGTTGCTCGAGAGTCATGCCAGCCGAAGCAAGCGAGGTGAGGGCAGGTGCAGGACCATTCGGATCATACTTGCGAGCTGGCGTAGAATCACCTAGGCTAAGATCATGCATCGGTGCACCAAGACTGCCGCTGGGCGGATCAGGGGGTGTGAGACGCTGGTTGGATGCTTGACCGGAAGAGCCGCTGGTACCTTCGCAGCTGGACCGTGGGAGTGCCGCCAAGGGAGGATAGGCTTGACTTCTGTGTCGTTTGCGTCTAGGAGCGCCGACTTGATCGAGTGTATCTGGTAATGGAGTTGCTACATCGTCTAGAGCTGGGGATTGTCTGGGCGAGCGATGCTTGCTAAAGGAGCCGATGCCAAGAAGTTCTTTGCTGTGGGAAGATGGTGGTGACAAGGCTTTGTCGCGGCTTGCTGTTGACGGAGCGGGATCGTCAAAGAGAATGAAATCTCTTTGAGGTGCCATCTTTGCTAGGGGGGTCATGTGGGATGTGGAAGGATGCTGACTATATGATGGCTGATGTAGCTACGAGAAGAGGCAGCTGGGCCTGTTGAAAGACTAGGCTCTAGGATGCAAGGCAGCGAGAGTCAGATAGTGTTCGGATGGCTAAAGATTGAGTCGGCTGAGCAGATTGCGTGTAGGTGCTGTTGCTTGTTGATAGCTGATGAATGTATATGTGCTTGTTCAGTAGCTGTTCGAGTGATGGTGTGAGTATCCTTTGAGGTTATTAGTGAGCTCTTGGTGAGACTGGATCGAGTGATGCAGCACTTTGGACGGAAGTGTCTGATGGGAGAAAGTGTCTGATGGGAGAAAGGAGTGTATGCCGATGTCGATGGCAGGGCTGGTCGTTGAAGCTGCTCGAAGGTCACCAGAAGGTAGTGTTCGATCAGGTGTCGTGGTGGTGTCGGAACGAATATCGAGGCCAACAAGGTGCAAATGGCGAAGAGAGAGGAGAGACTGGCAAGTGTTGGTCCTTGCTTTGGTTGGAGCAGATACGAGAAGGCTTTGGCTATTGTCGTCAGTTGGCTGAGTGGAGGCTGAGGAGCGTCAATTGCGGTCACCACGCGCACTCGCAGTCACATTCCCACGATACCGTGCTCGAGTAAATCACACCAACACTTTCAGCGGATCATCCGACAACTGTATTTTCGGGGCAGATTGACAGTTCGGCTTCATTCCGCATCTCTTATTCGAATTTCTGTGGCTGTGTGTGTTTCGGAGGAAGCGACAGTGCGTTGTGTGTGCGCAATGGGTGTGAGAAAGAGTTGAGGGAAACGAAACGAAGCAGGAATCCCGGCCGGGAAAACACCCCCGCTTCGTTACTGCACACGCGTGTGTCACAAAGACTTTGTAGCGTCCTGATCCGAGCTTGTATTTTGACAATCATCATCCATCGTAGAAAATCAGATTCCTCAACTGATTAAGAGTCTGAAGCTCAGCAGCTTCCAGCGCCCCGCCACCAAGATGCCACCAAGAGTAGATAGCGTAGCACTGCTTGAACGCACAATGCAAATGATCAGGGAAACTCACACCGACTGGGATGAAGACCAAGTCTTGGAGCGCGCCTTCTCGCTAATGAACCTCCAACCCAACACCAACCAAGCGGAGAAGATCCCTAAGTCGGTGCTCAGCATCATATCGCAAATCGTCAAGCTCAACGAGAACAACTGGGCCATCTGGGAGCCGATGTTCATGGACTGCATCCGCCCGATCAAGAACGCCAAGCGGATCCTCACTGAGGAGATTCCCAGCGGCCATACCGACTATGATGAGGAGCTGGACAGCCATTTGCTGGGTCTCATCCTGTCCTCCTGTGACCACGGACCCACCAGCCGTATCGACACCTACACAGTGCGGGAGCAAGGTGAGGAGGAACAACTCGGATCTACACTCTACAAGAAACTCAAGGCCGCACTCACAATAAACGACGAAGTCAAGCTCTCCGCCATTCACGACCGGGTACACGAAGTCAAACTAGCCCAGCGCAACATCGTCAACCTCAGTAAGGAGCTTGATCAAATCTGGAACGACGCAGCCAGGCTCGGCAGCCGCATGGACGAAAAGCTCAAGAAGTCTACCCTGTACCGCTGCATCAAGGATGACTGGCTCTACACCCAGACGGTAGACTCCCTCAAGGCCGCTCAACCTGGTTGCAGCTACGAATACGCCTATCATGCATTAGCGAAGAAGCACCAAGAGGCCGAACTCTCAGGTCGTATCCGAGCCACGGCCAGAGTTGCGAGCAATAGAAGTCCAGCAGGCCAAGCTGGCGAGCATAGGCAGGTCCTCAACCAAGAGGGCTACAA